CTAAGTACAATATATTACCTATTATACCTAATATAATGGATTGTGAAAGCATTTAGGTGGCCACAAATGGCCTGATCCCTCCCCTAATCAAACTCCCGATGCAACTTGCAGGTCAAAATTGGGACATTTAGGACCTTTATGGGGCAATAAGCAGCTCTTTCAACCATTAGAACTGGTTGTTATTGCTCAGACAACTGGCTAGAAAATCTCTGTGCATCTCCACTGATGTTAATCATGTTTGCCACGATGGCGCAAGTCACCCAAGAAACAGCATAAGGTCCCAGTGCTACAGAAGACATACATGAGATGCAAGACATGCAAAGACCTAAGCTCATAGATACTTGCTATATCCTAAGAATGCAAAAACACATTTTTAAATAACTATATAATTAAACATATTCTAACGTTGACCAACTATGGAGAAATTAAATGTAGCGTTTATGACAAGTCCCTGCGTCCCCATATCTTTGTGCCCATAAAAAAATAGTTGTTTTAGAGTTGATCTGTAGCTTGATCTGACCTATACATGCACACATGTTGCAGTCTTTAGTTTTGCAACCAGATTATGCTGGAACCACTTGTAGCATCCCAGGATGGACATATTGTGATGAACTGGTCTGCAACCAGGTGATATTCTACAGCATTTGGGAAATCCACTAATGCCCAGGACAGCAATCCTTTTAGAGGCAGGCATAAGCAAAATGTGGAAGTCACATTCTGCAGATGAAATTAGAAATTCGACATAGTAGTGCATGCCAGAAATAGCAGGGTTTAAAAATACCAAGCAAAGGGACCTAGCATTTATTTTTTTAGATTTTGAAGCTTTTATTTATGCGTTGCTTAATGCAAGGTCCACTTTAAGGTAATCCACACAATGTTTTTGCTGCTCTCTTAAATTGTGTATTTAAAACAATAAAACTAAAGAAATAAAGTCATATATTGTTATTTCGAAAAAATATTTTTCGCAAATCTATTGAAACAGGTAAATGACCAAACAGGCAAAAAAGAGATGGATAAAAAAATTATACAAGCGAAGGTTACAGTACATCTGTGAGGGACAAATCATCCTTAAGAGAGGACTGGGTGTAGGGAACAGTGATGCAGTTTTAACTCTTGAAAGGATGTACAGGGTAGCAGCCGGAGTGTGGCTTGTCTCTGATTATCTGTCTGTTACATGCCTCCCTCTGTGAATTCTCTTCTCATCATAAGTGAATACATCACATAATTAAAGCCATTGAAGCAGGAGAAGGATAACTAATGGCAAGTAGAAAGGACATTTGTTTCTATAAAAGATTAAACTTCCCAGAAGATCGAGGATCTAGTTACACTGTGGTGCATTGTAGTCTCTAACTTTATTACTATTGACAGGATGGCTACTGTTACCCTTATTGATATGGTGCAATAATGTGAATCCCGAGATGTGCAAAACCATCATATTCAAAGGCTATCACTAGTTTATTTGTGTGGATCTTTTTTTTACATTTGATTGGGAATGGTAATATTGCATTTTAACTTGCTACATCTTCAAAGGGCTACATTGTTTATGGAAATAAATGTGTACCACTCTATCACTCTTTCTGTGTAAAGTAACATGGTTAGCCATTATAAAAGAAAACACCATTTTAAAAAATTAAATTAAAATGATATAAATTTGCTGTCAGACATCACCCCTTTACATTACATATTTATATCACGCATTTTTAATACAAAAGTTGTATCTTTTTGTAATAGTAGACAGTGCTTAAAAAACAAAAAACAAAATTGGTTAAAAAAAAGTAAAACAAAAAAAATAATTGTTAATTACAAAAATATACATTTTAACAGCACAGACACATTTATTGATTACCAGTTTAAATTCAATATATGTCCTATATTTCACTAAATTAAATTTAGTTAATATCAATCCATTACTTTTTTAGTTTCTTGTTGCAAGTTATTAGAGTTAGCCATTGAAGTTTAGAAGGCAAACACTGATACCATGATTCAAGTAATGCTACTAAATGTTGTAATGTAATGTAATACATCAAAATAAATCACACATCAATAAATGAAGAAAAAAAACATGCTAGTGAAAAATCATTTATCTCTCCCTCATTTATATGAAGGGGGTGAACGCCTTTCAGACAAAAGGAATTAATAAAAACACATGATTATAAAACTTTTATCAGTTTTTGGTTAAATTGGAGGCCTTTCTAGTCCCTCTTTGAAATGCAATTAATCTTAAGTCCAATGTGAAAATCAGAATTTTAACCCTAAGAAAAATCTATCTATCTATCTATCTATCTATCTATCTTTTTTTCTATATATCTTATATATTGTATATGGTAAAATTTCACTTTTTTATTATTATTTTTTATATTTATTTTCTCGTATTATCTGTCATGTAAAATCTCATACTTTTCTATCTAGACTGTGATAATTGCTTGTGCCAATCAAGTTTAGGCATCATTGAACTGAAGTGTGCCAGCTTTCATTATAAGATATAACTTATTTGACTTTCCTGCAGTACCTAATAATCCATAAAGAAACCCAAACACAAATGGCTTCGGGGAATATCTAGAAAATTAGGTGGTCATTGGGGAATCGGGTGAACTTTTGAACCAGAGGAACAGTGAGGGAGAAATATTAGAGAGAACACAAGATTCCTAATGCATAGAGAAATATAAGGATGTGACCTTTTTGGTGCCTTGAAAATTACATTAACATTATGAAAAATACTTATCATGTTTAGCATTCATAATGTATCAATGTATATACTTTTGTTGGTATGAACTGCAAAGCAGAGAGTCAAAAGGACAAAATAAAAATAAGATGTAATAACAGACCTTGCCGTGACCTGGGCTAATTTTGTTTCACTCGTTAACACTCTGCCTGCTATACCTAACAGAAAAGTCACAGAGACTGGAAAAGAAAAATTGGTTTCTGCATAGATCCGTACTCTGCAATTGAAAGTTTTTAGCTGACAAATACTTATTAGAAATAAGAGGCATATTTTTTTTACTTTTAATTAACAGAGTATAAGAAAAATTGCAATAGTAACCCTGATTGACTCATCAAAATCCAAGATTACAGCTCTCATGCAGCTTAAAATGCCTTCTGCATTTTTAATCTCTAGAGAGACTGAGTGAGTAACATGGTACACAGGTCTGTAACATAGTAGAAAGAAGACTCTCATACATCTGCCCAGAGCAGCCAATTATAAATCAGCAGTTAACATTCTAATTACTAGAATAAGTAATAAGGCTTGATTTACAATTGGTTACCATGAGAAGGGAGCACGCCATTGGTCTTAGCTTTGTATTATTCAATAGGCCTCATAATCAGCTCATGGCACTTAGAGGTTGGAGGGGCACTCGTTTTGTCCACCTATTATAATTTTTATAACAGGATATCAAATTAGAATTTTAGGAAGTTAGTGCTAACTTCTTTTTTAGTTTGTTTTTGAAAGTTTCAAGTGAACATGCTTTCTTTCGCCTTTTATTCAGAATTTAGTCAGTAAGTATACAGTGAATCATTTTAATGTAGCACTTGGTAATACTCTTTTAAAAGAAAACAGTGTAACATTCTAGCAAAGTAAATCATATTTGGACACAACACGATGGAATATACTAAATGCTCCCAAATATAGGGGTGAAGTTTTGAAGATGATAGAATACACCTCTCTGAATCGCTGAGCACCGTATTTATTACACATGCATGCAGTATACTTATTGCTGCTCTGCAATAGACATAATTTTATAACCCATAAAGGCAATTTATGTATCCAACGGGAATGATCTGGATAACATAAAACCTTGAGTGCTGTGTTGCTGTGTGAAGCATATTTTAGTTTGCCAATTGTACTATGAGACAGAGAGGCCCTGCTTGATCATCATATCATGTCACAAAGCATTACTCATTCATAACTTTATAACCAACTTATAATGCCTCCACTCAATGCACGTAATTAAATCGAGGGAGCGTACATACAATACCCATGGAAGTTATTGCAAAATATAATTTGCTAAATTTTCCTAAATGGTTCTACATATAATCTATTACTGACATTTTAAAAAACGAGAAAAAAAGGTTTTCAGTGCAATATCTTTCTAGAGCAAAATGTTTTTCTGTAAGCTAGAGCACTATTCATCAAAGCATAGTTCTGAATATTTTTTAAATAACCCCGTCGGGTTTTAGCAATATGCATCATTTGCATATTTTTTATTTTTGTATTTTATGTAGATAATGTCCCTGCACATAAAAAGTAGTATTTTTTTTTTTTTTAATTTAACATTCTGAAAGTTTACATTAGCATGTCATCTTAGTAAGGTACATATATCTTTTGCATTAAAAAAAGCAAAAATATTAAACTCAAAATCAAAACAGATGCTTTATAAATCAAAAACATCAAAAAATGTCTTAAATACATCTTTTTTCTTGCACAGTAATATTTTTTGTGAAACTTACAATTTACTGTAAGCAAGTAAACTGAAAATGTAAGTAGATTTTTTGTTTGATTTATTATGGATGTAAGTTCTGTGAAAAAAAAGACATAAAACTTTTTTCACTTATTAAATTATTGCATTCTTTCATTTGCAGTTTTTATGTTTTTAGAGCCAACAAATTACTTTCGATCTGTTATAGTTTAATTGAGAAATCTAGACTACTTAAACAAAATAATAAAAACTGATTTTAATTTAAGAGAATTGAAATCTGTCAACCAACATTTATTGATTTATTATTGTTATTGATTTATGCGTAAAATGCCGATGTGGCAAAGTCACAAAAGTAAATGAAATGAACTCAGATTTTAAAAAAAACTAAACATAAGCAGTAGAGAAATATTTTTATGCAATAATACCGCTAGAGGGAGCTCTCCAGTTCCTTACTGAGGCTGACTAAAATAAAAGCTGGTGTCTTTTATCTCTGTTTTCTGAAACACTGTATTCTGTTTCTATGAATCCCATTGCGGTCATTTGTGGAAAAGAGCAATATATATTGAAAGATAAATAGGTGCTTACCCTCAGAGGAGAACTCATCATCTTTATCCCGATCAGAGGCCAGAGAACAAGTATCAGGAGGACGAGGAAATCCCTCCTCGTCCAGATCCTCGAAATCTCCTGGAGGAAAAAAACAAAACATTTTTTAAGTGACTACTACTTGCATAGAACAGTTAATAACAGAAATGAACAGAACGGTGTGCCCTACATGTTCACAATATTATTCAGTTTAGTATTTTAATGTACATTTTTAGTCAATTTTAACAATTAATAAGCAGTTGTTATGTTCTGGATATAGATTACATAGCCCTTAGAAAAGTTGTACCATATGCATTTTACGTTCATATATGGGGATGGGATACAATAGCTTGAGGCTGGTTTGTTTAATTCATTTATTTATTTCTACTTAATGAATAATAGCAGTCAGCACATACATTGCAGATACTCTAGTCTTGACTTTTAAGCTGAAGTTTACCAATTGTGAAGAGTATTTAGGGTTTGTACATACACCGGCCACATAATGGCATTCAATGTACTGAAGTACTGAGAGCTTCAGCAGTAAAGTAGCAGCAGTAACACTGTATACCAACAAGGGTCCATAGATGTAGAATTAAGAGGCTTGAATTACAATGCGCTCGGCTTATGTTCAGGAGGGCCAAAAGAACCAAAAATGTCTACAGTAAAGCACTGTTTTATTGAAAGAAAGGTATATTTTTAAGCAGCTCAGCATTGCACAAAAAAAGCAGCTCCTGGAACACTACTCACCTCATCCTTAGTGCTGTACCCCACAAACTAACCTCCCTGAGGCCCAGTTTCACTCCTCTTCCACATCAAATGACAGCCAGCATCATTCAACCTATTTTCTGTGAACCCAGGCTGTCATGTACACACGCCTTGGGGGTGCGTCAACACATCAGTCTTGGCTCACAGTACAATACTGCAGAGAGCAGCGCTAACGTCCTAAGCACTGTTCTCTGCAGTATTGAAGACCACTCACTGGTACCACCTCAAGAGGAAAAAAAAGACTTGAGGATATCCAGTGGCCAGGCAGAAGACTTCTGAAGAAAAAAAAGACGATGTATAAATATTATTTTAAATGTGGCCAGAGAGTTTGGGGGGTGGGGGATTTTTTAAATTTCACCAGAGTTCTGCTTTAATCCTTAAACACCCTTAGCTCCTTAATACTGAATCCTTAATTACACCCTCTACAATCATTTTATAGCTAGCCATTACCCCATTCTACCTCACTTAATGTCCCTTTAACAGCAATAGAAGAGCTTTATAACAAGCTTTCATTGACCTCTGTAGTTGCAGGGATTGTGGAGCATTTCATCCTTTAAAGTGTAACGTTCACAGGTGAAGTACTAACATTGTTCAAGTTCTTCTCTAAGACAGCACAGCTCACCCTAATTCTCCCACCCAGAGCTTATTCTTTCTGTTCTCTACATTAGAGATTAGAAGGCTGGAAGGCTGCCAGGACACTTCTGGGTAGGGGAAGCCTAATAGTTCATCTTCAAAGATCACAAAGAACCCTAAAGTTTTTTCTAACAGTTTACAGCATCTCCTGTTTGTTTAAATTAGAAGACTAGCTGGGAGCAGAGTCCCTGCAGTTAAAGAGAGGAGCTCCAATTTCAGTTCCTCTGTTGTGTGGATTTTAAAGATTAATTGCTCCCGAGTGCCTGCAGCTACCGAGGTCAGTAAGGGTTTGTTTTAAAGCTCTTTTATCAGTTGTTGAAATTGTTTTAATACTTTAATGTCCATGGTCTGGGCCTAGGTGCATTTTAAGGAGCCAGTAGTTGATTATTAGAAAATACTTTTTATACACTACTATGAATAATGACTGTATATAAAACACAGAGATGTAAGAGCTCTACATAGGGCACAACAATTCTGCAACAGAGGGGATTCAATTATTCTGAATACTCATACCTCACAAGCTAGTAAGGGTAGCAGGTGTATAGGAACAAAAGCAACACACCATATTTAGTATTTGTTTTTTTCCTATTTTGATTGTATGAAGAGTTCATCAAAGTTATAGGCATCAGTGTGCTGTGTGTGTGGAGGGGGAGGGGGGACAACAGGGTGACTGCTGATGGAAATTGCAATATCCTTTAGTAGCTGAAATTATTGGTGGAATGCCTATTTCAATAAGAGTCCTTCAAACAAAGCAGACTGCATGATTATTGCCTTAACAAATTCTAATTTTAATTATGTTGCAAAAATGTTTAACATTTGTGTCAAAATTGTAACAACAAAATGTAAATATAGCAGTTGCTATCAAAATCATATCAAAATCATATCATAATCAAAAAACAGGTAAAATGATTTTGGGACATAAAGGTTAGGTTTGACAATTAATGTTCAAAATTATGGTAGCCATATATGCTTACATGGATAGAGAAATCTCCTTCGCAGGCTTGTATTCAGCTGGCACCCGTGGCTGTCTGAATACTTGAACAGTGACTGCTTCTGACGAGACAATTTTTTTATTTTTTTTTCCAAAGATAGAGACCTGCTTTTATTGCAAAGATAAAAATTCTGGATACACACCCTAAACACTCCAGGTGTGATCTACTAAAGGTGACATAAAGTCACCTTTACGGACTTAAAAAATTCATGTGCAGGAGAACTCTTTTTTTGTAAATTATATTCATGAATGGGCATTTGGTGAACACAAATTCACTTCTTTCTGCATTCCCTGCATTCATCTCATTTCTTTTTTTTTTTAATAAATTCTTTCTTTTCCAAATTTTCACACAAATAACAGGAAATACCGGCAAGGCACAATATTGGTCGTCCTCATAGGCCGCAAAAGGTGTTCTTACATACACACAACGCAGTGTCACAAAATACAACAAGGGTCTTTCAAGGGTTGAGACAGGTTTTCTCGTAGATATAACAAACAGGTAACCGCGCGTCCCATCCTGGGACAGGGGGAACCGCGCGTCCCATCCTGGGACAGGGGGGAGGAGGGGAGAGGCTGGGAAGGGCGTGTGAGGCAAGCAAGGTGAGAGGAATCAACGGACATTGGTTCACTGTGTGCCGCTGGGTTCAGGGGGTAGAACGGGGAATATATTATCCACTTGTTGAGCTATAGGGGGCAGTGGGGAGGGGGTAGGAAGGGCTTGGGTGGGCAGAAAAGCAGGGTAAAAGGTGGGGTGGGTACCCTTCTCGACGGGAGGAAGGAGGGGGAGGCAAGGGCAGGGTCCGGGTAGGTGAGGAATGTCACACGTCAGAGCCCTGACGTAGTGTCACATACGCCGGGGAGGAGAGAAAGTCGATCCAATAAAACCAAGTGGCTCTAAATTTAGCGGGGGTGTTGTGGAGGGAACTTGTGAGGTCCTCCATATGATAGATATCCTGTATCCTGTCTAGCCATTGGTGGACCGTGGGGGGCTCAGGTTTCCGCCATAGGGCTGGGATACAGGCCCGGGCAGCGTTGATGAGATGGCGTAGCAGGGAGCGCTTGTAGGCTTTTAGGGAGATGTTGGTGTGGTGTAGTAGGTAGAGAGCTGGATCGCGTGGTAACGTGGCGTCTGTGAATTGTTGGGTAGTGGCATGGACTTGGTCCCAGAAAGTTTGTAGGCTCGGACATGGCCAGAATATATGCAGTATATCTGCTGATGGGGCATTACACCTCCAACAAGTGTCTGGAGTTTGTGGGAACATGGAGTGGAGGGCCTTGGGTGTCCTGTACCACCTGGTGACTAGTTTGTATCCTGCCTCCTGGTATTTATTGCTAATGGATGATTGATAAGAGAATGTGAGTAATTTCCTACCATCCTCCGGGTCCAGGTTGATCCCGAGATCCTCCTCCCATCTCTGTAAGAACCATGGGGTGTCGGTTGAGGAGCTAGTTAGGAGAAGTTTGTAGCAGAATGAGAGAACGTGTCGGGCCTGGCCTTCTAGGTTACTCTCGTGTTCGAATGGGGTCAGGGCTCTAGAGAATTGTGAGGGGGCGGGAGAGATCGCAGAAAATGGGTAAGTTGCATAGTCCTCCAGGGGTCTAGGGGTGAAGGTGGAGCGCTCTGAAGTCACCTGGGGTGCCAAGTGCTTGAAAGCGTGCGTCCCCCAGTCCAGGTGGAAAAGCCGGATTACCTAAGATCGGAGCCATAGGTGAGGGGGAAGGGGAGAGGGAGTGAGCTGCGAAGGCAGCTCTAGCTACCATGAGAGTGGGCATGATCGTGGGATGGGAGCGGACTGCGGGGGGCAAGGGGGAAGCGCACCAGGGAAGTCCCGGGAGTGGCACTGTAGTGAAGGTTTGTTCCAGGCCAGTCCACTGCTTTGAGGTTTGGTGTCGGCACCAGTCTATAACACGGGTTAGGTGGACCGAGGTGTAGTACAGACGGATGTCAGGTAGGCCCATCCCACCAGATTGTTTAGGTCTGCGCAAAATGTTGTATTGGAGTCTGGGGGGCTTGTTGGCCCACACGAAAGAAGTGAAAAGCGTTCTCAATTTACGGAAATAGGACGGGGGAATCGCGATTGGGAGGGCTTGAAGTGGGTAAAGGAGGCGGGGAAGGATAGATTGTTTGAGGATGTTACAGCGGCCCATCCAGGAGAAGGTACCCGCAGACCAGGCTTTGAGATCAGAGGAGATAGTAACTAATAACGGGGGAAAGTTCAAAGAAAAAGTTTGGGAGAGGTTTCGTGGAAGTTGTATGCCCAAGTATTTGATCGAGGTGGGGGACCATTTGAATGGAAAGTTGTCCAGGACTCTTCGTAGGCGGGGTCCCGCAAGGGAGATATGCATGGCCATTGATTTATGGGAGTTGATCAGAAAATTGGAGAGTTTACCGTAGCGGCTGATTTCTGACAAGAGCACTGGGAGGGAGATATCGGGGGAGGTCAGGAAAAATAGAAGGTCATCCGCGAAAGCTGCGATCTTGTGGTGAGTGGGGCCTCGTTGGACTCCCTTTATGTCGGGATTGGAACGAACAGTCGGAAAGGAAGGGCTCCAGGGCGAGAACAAAGAGGAGAGGCGAGAGGGGGCAGCCCAGGCGGGTACCATTGGAAATAGAGAAAGTGGGAGAGAGGACACCATTCACCGGCATACTTGCGGATGGGCATGAATAAAGCGAGCTAATCCAGATTTGCATATGGGGGCCAAGACCAATCGC